TATATATATATATATATATATATATATATATATATAAAACTTACGCACTTTGTTTTAGGTATGTACATAATTTAACTTATTAAGAAAAAAATAATTATAATAATTGTATAAGTAACTTACCAGTATAAAAATTAGTTATATATACACATCAAAACATCAAATAGACTATTTTTTTCAACCAATAATTTTCTTGTTCTCCTAGTATAATATTATATCCCACCTCCCAACTTCCTCCTTGTATTTTCTTGCTGTCACACCGAAAAGGAATTATTAAATACAATTTATTTTAAATATATTTAACATATCAAAATAATTTTTTAAAAACTTTTTTTTCTTGTTGATATTAATATTTTAATCTAAAATCATGTGCATGAAAGATTTTCAAGAATGGATGTTATTTGGCTTCTTGTATATGGTGGGGTTAGATGTCTCTTCAATCACTTTTAATATATTTAATTTTGTTTCATTTTAATCATGTATACTATGCTATGAGAATCATGATTGGCTTTAATTTATAATTTTCTAATTCTAATAAAGAAATGTATAATTATGAAAGACATGATTTGGTATTAGAAAATTAATATTAGTTTGTCTCACATATGTAACATTGAATGTGGTTACACGACATAATTTTTGCACATATATATCTTACATAATTAATTAATTCTTAACCTAGATATACATTATAATTTCTCTTTGAAGAATTGGTCGAAAAATTAGATAGCAAGGCATATGAGTTGAAAACATGAAATGTGATCAAGTAGCATTTAGAGCATATGAAAGGGTATTTAATTTACAGAATCTTTTGATTTAGCTTAAATGTATAATATTAATTTGTAACTTTATTTACTTTAAAAGAAAAAACTAAATCAAGTTGGGATAGATAAAATGCTAATTGATCTTCAGCATTGAGATACACTAATCTTTCTAAAAAACTCTTTAATAAGAATGTCAAAGTTGCAAGATTTTGATATAATATAATCTTGAATGATATAACTAATTAATTTTACACAATATATTCGAATTGTTTGCTTTAATTTGAAATTAATAAGTAATTCCAAGTTTTGGAACTTTGATGTTTCCAAGAGACCAAAAAAAAATATTCTATTGAATTTCATAGTGTAATTAAAAAAAAGCGGTACTTAGCTGGATTTCATTTCATCTAACTTCTTCATAGTTGACCATCCAAAGTGGAACTAAAAAATAATTAAGGATATAAAATTTCCCAATTTTATGCATACATATATATATATATATCATCGCTTCAAAAAAATGACAATCTAAAAATTTTTTAATAAAATATTTGATTGATAACTCATCAATTTCTAAAAACGTCTTTATATTTTTCTAATTATATAAAATTTCAATTGCAATAAATAGAAAGGGAATGATTTGTAATCATAAGAAAGTGCAATTGGCAAAGGCTGATATATTAAGATGGCCCATTTGACTTAATATAATATTAATTAAGCAAATAAAAATTAATTAATAATACTAGTAGAACATAATCCAAATCTTTCAGGTGACGTTTGTTGTAACTTTTTATTTCTTCTACTTTTTTCTTTTGTCACAATCCCTACACTTTTTGGACAATGGTGAAAAAACACATATAGTAAGAAAATAATATTATAATAATATATAAAATATTATAAATTAAAATAAAGGAATCGAGAAGAAGATTTGGGGTTGACGTATATGGATTTTGGAATTAATTAAGATTAGATTAGATTAGATTACTTATACTAAAATAGATTGAGTTTTTTCAAAGTGGGAGTCATTTATTTTTTTTGTTTTATTGTATGCTTTATTTTTTGTTGAATATATGAGTAGTCAAGTTGGCAACATGTCTGAAGTGATGGCACATTGACAAATTCCATGATATCTCATTTTGTTGCTTTTTGTCTCTTTTTTTTGCTTTATTCCTTTTCCTCCACCGTTTTATATTAATTGATTATTTGACAAAAAATAATTATCTCATATTCTTTTTTTATTTAGTTGTTTACTTTTCAATTGATATTTTTATTGTTGATACACTTATTAAGAAAGTAATAATTGAGATTGTAATGTTTATCATTTTATCCCTGATAATTCTGAAGTGGATGAATAAAATAAATTAACTTTTCAAAAAATTCTACTTTTTTTCAAAATTAATTAATTGAGGAGATAATATGTATTTCTTGATTAATCAAAATGAATTAATAAAAAGGAATAATAAGAAAGGAAATTTGGACAAGTAATTAAGAACCGAGGGAGTATTAGTTGTGCACCTCTACAAATCAAGAAAACATTAATTTGATTTTTTCTATATTTTCCTTGTAAGTAATTCTTTTCTAAAATGTTCATATTTGTCATAAAAAATCCCAATAAATTGGTAAAATTATGTGTAAAAGAATAATCAATTAATATAAGATGGAGTAATTTCAAAAGTAATTTGTGAACAAATATATAAATTTCTTGCAACTCGAAATATTTCAAAATTCAAGTTGAGTTTTCATCATATATCCAAACATGATTTTATTTTATTTTTTTAAAAAAGAAAGAAGGTGAAAAAGTGAAAATTATTACTATATAACAAAGGGGAATAACACGCAGCAGACCGTCAACACGTCTGCTTGTGCTGTCAGCTTATTTTCCTTGTGTCCTTCATTTTTTTTGGAAAAAATGTATACGGCTACTTCTTTATCCAATAAAAAAATGGAAAAAAACCTATTATATGGTGCCTCTTCTTCATACCATTAAAAAATATGAAATTCATATAATATGTGAATATATAATTATTTAATCGATATACATATACAATTTGGCTCTCTCCCACTATTGTCCTTTATTATTGCTCGCATCTCTCCTCCCTCTCTCAATATCGATCTCCTCTCTTCTCTCTCTCCCAATCTCGTTCGCCTATCTCCTCCCTATTCCAATCTCGTTCGCGTCTCTCCTCCCTCTCCAGTCTCGCTT